CCGCCCTAGCTCGTCTAAAAGACCACAACTGTTGGTAGAAAGGAAATTAAAAGCCAGTCCAGTCTTCAGTATAGTAGCATGCGTATAACTCGACTCTACTACTTACGCAGCGAACGTTTAACTAATCTACTGATTTATATTGTTGTGTTGCTATATTTTGATTAAACTAGCGTATACGTATATCCTAATACTTCTCGTTTATAATTGTGTTCTAACGTTGTGCTTACTCGACACACAACGTAAATCAGAAGACACTTGAGAAGGTGTAAGAATGTGTATTCTCGCCGTAATCAAAATTCAAAACTTGAGCGAGTACCAATGTATCAATTGTTAACACGCAAGATTTAGAGTAATAAGCAAATCAAAGTACAGTTACACAATGAAAGTATAGTACGATGATGAGTAATAAAATGGGTCACTACAATATCCTCTATAATCTTCACTTAGTTGCATTAGTATAAGCAAATCTGGAAATAAATATATTAGCACACACCTTTTAATATTTTACATATATATATACAGCCAATAATACAATGCTATTTCTTTGTCGAAATGATTTTACTCAGCCGATAACTACCTTTTCTCATATACGTTTCTAAAATGTATAACTGTATAACATTTCGCAGTATTTTTAACATTATATAGGTTGAAGGGTTACTTTGCAATGTCTGATGCATACCGTATGAAAATCGGCCATGAAAATTTAGCAAAACTAGCTCTGTTAACCAGCTGTTTTCTTCAGGATTATTCTACAAAAATTTATCACTAATTGTTCCACTACCCATTTTACTCTGCTAAATAGACTATAACTTAGTTGCTGTAATACTAGGTACTTCTATACTTTATACTTCTCAAAGTAAACACCATTTCCTAGGCGTTTCTAACAAATACCGGTACACATGTAAGCATTTATAAAGGTGATACTTCTAAGAATGTCCTTAGGTATCGATGTATATGGTGACCTAATGGGAGGCGCTCGTCATGAAAGCTACTAATGTACAGTATACTGTGTGATTGGGACGGGCTCAAAGCAGTGCAATGCTGCAACTACAGTTATTGCAAAAAAATCTCAGAGCTTAACATCAAAAAGGAGGGAGGGTAGCGCATGCTGATCAGCAGATATGGTAGTGGTCACAAATGTGAATCGCTCCGATCTGTAGGACAGCAACATGCATTTTCTGACAGCTTGAAAATTAAACATTAGTCTGGACCCTCAACAACAAAACCATAATGAGTGTTGTACAGATCTAAATTATAAATAAAAAAGTGCTTTCGCTCCTACCACCTACAAGCCTGTTCAACTTCTCGTCAAGATGCTACCCGTTGGGCCCTACAGAAATTCGTGAGGCATCTTACGGGTCAGCTTGTTCTAGGGCTTCTAATTTTCCAGATCTTTGAATTCACTCCTCACTTAAATATAACTTACCTACCTCACAATAATCTTTTTATCCACGCACTATTATACTCTACTTTATGTTAACTACCTAGGCCATTATTAAAGCTAAAACTTTCTCTTTGCTCTTATTTGTTGCTTGCCCAAAGTCTGGTTACTTTGATTGAAAACACAACAACACCAATATTTGAACGAAGCTATATCTTCATCGAAAACATCATAGTTTCAGTTCTTGGACCAATATGGTTAACATTAAACACTGCAAATGTATACTTACGTTTCAAGTACTATATAGCTTCTTCTTCTTGTATTTATCTTGTAAATACACTTACAATAATGTATTATTCATAATTGCATTTTATACCATTTTGCAGCTGCGCAGAATTTTCTTCTCTTCCTGAAATAGCGTTCAATCAAGTGGCGGCATAGCACTCACCCAGATAAGCGCTGTTCACTGGTTGACCACGACTAGTAGCATGAAACGGAACGCAGTTTGGGTTGTCGCTCAACTTCGATGGTGACCTTAGTAAACGGTTTACAATTTAACATTTATAAGAACCTGTTCTGATCGCTTGTACAATAATCGAACAATTTAAACTTTTGAAGACGTATTAATTTATGATACTTCAGGATTGTAATTTATAACATTACTGATCGTGCCTGTAAAAATGGCATGCATTTCTTGTAAACATACCGGTTTATACGAAATATAAATTATTATTATTGTTATTATGGAAGCATTTCGAGCAGATGCGTCGTGTTCGATGGACTTGTTATTTCCACGAAGAAGGTGTGATAATGGCTGAATCAGGGAAGCACAGCTGGGAATAAACCATCGATAATAACTCACCAAGCCATTAAAAGTGTGTAGACATTTCACTGTCTGTGGCTCTGGAAAGTTCAGTATCGCCTCAACTTTACTAGCCAGCGGGCGAATGCCATTGCAGTCGATGGTGTGGCCCAGAAAGTCTAGTGATTCAACGCCTCTCTGACACTTCTGAATATTAGTGGTAGCTCAATGTAGGCGTAACCTTTCGAATGCCAAGTCCAACTGTCTAAGGTAGGTTTCCTTGTCTGGACTGGCAATGAGGAAGTCATCTAAGTATACGTATACAAAGTTGAGACCGCTAAATACGTCGTCGATGAAGCGTTGGAATGTTTGTGCTGCATTCTGGAGACCCAATGTCGTACGTAGAAATTCAAAAAGTCCGAAAGGTGTAATGATAGCCGTTTTGAAATATCTTCTGGTACCATCAGTATTTGGTTATACGCTTTAACCAGGCTGATTTTAGAGATTATAGTTGCGCCAGATAATGTTGACATCAAGTCGTGTATGTGAGGCAATGGATAGCAATCAGGGGTTGTTTTGGCGTTCACTCGCCGGTAATCACTAGTGGGTCGCCAATCGTTGCTATCCTTTTTCGGTACCATATGCAGCGGGGATGCCCATGGACTATTCAATCGACGAATGATTCCAAGGGTGAGTAAATGGTCATACTGTTTTCTAGAGAGTCTTAGTTTTTTAGGAGATAGTCGTCGTGCTTTAGACGTCACGGGTTGTCCTGAGGTTATGATGTGATGCATAACATTGCTGGTTACGCACGGGAGATCGTCAGATGGGCAATTAAGTTCCGGATATTTGTCAACAATCGGTTGAAAAGTTGGATCAAGGATTGCTTTCATCTTAACGAGTAACAAGCTGGGGCCTATGTAGGTGATGCCTTTTATAGACAGACTAGTAGTATTTTCAATCAGTCGTTTTCGGAGGACGTCTACGAGTAAATCATGATGATTAAGTAGGTCCGTGCCAATGATGGGCATCGTGACGTCAGCGATAAGGAAAATCCACTGAATAGGTTTACATAAACCTACGTTCAGATTGACGTATTACCTACCAATGGTTGCAATCGGTTTTCCATTTTCTGCCTGTGAGCTGAAGGCAGGTTCCATCTGTCAGTCCGCTTCTGTAGCAGGAAGGACGCTGACTTCGGCGCCTGTGTCGACTAAGTATGGCGTCTGGCTGGCCACATCACGAATGTAAAGTAGGCGGCTAGTGCCGGTTGCCGCTAACGCGTGCCAGCGGGATAGTTTCCCACAGACTTTGAGACATTGCCAAAGTTGCAGGGTTTACGGCAACATTTCGCTTCATGGCCATGTGTTGTGGTAGCCAACACCAGTCAGGGTTTTTAGTGAACGTGGCTTGGATTTAGATCGACCAAGTGAGTTTCGCCGTTGAGGGGAATCGGACGACGGTAGGGGGAGTTACAAGGCACGTTTGACCTAAGCATCTGCTGGATGGAGTTGCATAACTCTATCACTGCAGTATCAATACTCGAAATCTGTTCGGCAACTGAGCATATTTCAGTAAATGGTCGTTTAGTTATTTCTAGAATTTTATCTGCAGAAACAGTTAAGTCGTCTGAAATAACACCCTGAAGTGTCACAAGTACAGCCTGTACTGACTGTAGCAGTTTGGATAAGAACATTTCTCTGAAAAGTCCTTCATCAAACTGACGTTGCCCAATAGCTTCTCTCACTCTTGATAGCATGCTCACGGCTGACTGATCACCTAACTCGATGTTGCGAAATAAGTCGTCCAGACGCCGTCGGTCCATGAGAATGTTTCTCCTTAAGATGGATGCTTCAAGCAACTTACTTACCTCTGGGCTCGACATTTGCACAGTCCCGCACTTGCTGAATTCCCGTGGTAGGCCATGAACAACTGCAAGGAATTGCGAAAGTTGATCAGTTATCCCATGCTCACTAAGATTGGACTCAGCTATCTGAAACCATGATTCAGCATTATCTGGCCAATATGGTACGACATTCTGAATATGATCACTCATGGGGGAATATATTTGGTTTAAAAACAGTACAGGAACAAATACAAAATGGAACGAACTCACCGGATTTTTCTGTGTATTTACCAGTTTGGAGGTTGACGGTATTGACGTTCACGGATAGTTCGAAGTATACTATAGCAAGCTCAAATACCCACATCTTCTATGGTGTTCGTTCCGCGTGGACCAAAGGCAAAGAAAAACACCAGAATTGATCGTTCAAATTACGAGATATATTTTGGGACCAAATCGGAGTACGAGAGGATTGTTTAGCTGGCTAGGGATCGTGCACGAATGTGACACGACGGAGTATCAAATGGTGTGGATGCTTGACTAGAAGCCTTCAGCTAAACAAAAGTCGACTTAAATAGTAAGGGTCAGCATCCAATGTTCAGTGATGAGTGGTGTGGTCAATAATTTTGGGGAATTATTTACCGCTACAGCTGTTTTCTTTTGACGATGATACTGGAGGACTAACTGGTGAAAGGATCAACTCCATTCACAGTGGTAACAGTATTGTCACACCTCACACTACAAACTACATATAATTAATCCCAGCACTACTCCTTTTGGAGTCAACCAAAACTACGACAAACGAGCTACACACAAGTTTGCCGAAGATCAGGAACCTCTACCCCGAAATCAAGAGGCGAGCACAAAGAAATAAAATTAGTTTATACTAGCGCGGAAAAACGATATTGGATATTGGAATTGTAGCCCATCAGTTTAGTTTGTAGCTGATTGAGACATCGGGTTCGTAGGCGGCTGAATCGTGGGTGACGCTACTCCATTTTTCACAAGCTCCAGTCCGATTACATTTCTAGACATCTTAGTGCGAAATCTCTGATTCCTTAGACCTTAATTTTTTTAATTTCAAGAAAAGTGTTAAGTGACAATAAAGTGTAGCCGACAACAGTATCAGGCCAGAAAAATGGGGTAACTATAAAGAATGGATACTACACGCAATATCCAACGTTAACAACCAGTTAGGTCGTTGAAATTTCAAAGCAAATTTATTTATAGACACTAGTTTATTCTGCCAAAAAAAGACTGAAAAACTGGGGAGTATGCTTCAGACAGGATATTTTTCTGACTGATATCTGTTTATTAATGATAAACTATAGTTTATAGTACACCCGAAATGTTTTACCCCGAAATTTCTTCAGTGCCACCGAAGAAAATTTTAGCTGGGTAGTTTCTGTGCAAATATGCATTGTTGAGGGTTAACGATATGATTGCTTGGCTGAAAGTCGTTTGGTCGTGGTGTCTGTTTTCCATAGTTGCCGATGTTGGCCATTACCTTCGCTCCTCTCTAATTAGTAATCCTGTAGATACCGCCGTGCCTACTGGTGAATTAGAGTGCTGTGGTGGCTTTGGATGCATCTCCCTTATATATGACTGCAATTTATTGATGTTAGGAAATAACAGGCTAAGTTTAACTATAGCAGCCACTTCGATCCACTGTCCGGCTGGCCTTATACAAAATAGGTTGGCCATCTGGTCGGGTCTTTCCGTTATTTTCATCGATTCTACTTCGTGCGTAACCGGGGTCGAATAAAATACATGTGGAATTTAGATTCACAGTGTGGTCAACGACTAAAACTCCTTGCCTGATTCAGTAGTAACAGCTCCAGGGATCAACGCTTTCAAAAAAAACTAGATCTTCGCAGAGCTATATATCGCAAGGATTAAAATAGGCAACAAGAGTCCTCTATCCTTATAATCTGAATCTGAATCACGGCCCATGATAACTTCACACCAGCTGAGGAGAAAGCCGTTAAAGAGTCATCAGGTAGTTTATAAAAAGACAGTAATTGCTGTGGACTGCAAATCGCTAATACCACCCCAGTATATTCCAGTCTGTGCATGCTGTCCAGTTACTCCAAGCTGCTAGCTGCTGTTCCAAAGGGGTTTGTTAATAACAGCCTTCCTTGAGTTCGCGACGTTTGTTTATTCGGATAATTAGTATAGCTGAAAACTGAATTGAGGACGGAACCACAGTGAAATATCTATCGGTGTATTCGATCATGGCCAATATTTCACTTAGTGTTTACTGGTAGCTTTTAGCAAACTTGAGACGTATGCGTGACAGTGCACCACGCTTCTTTGTGCTATTCCGTATGGTTTTTGAGTGTATCTTCCAGAGTGTACATGGGCGATTCTGCGAGAAAAATTGAAAATACCCCGTTTATTTCTGTTATTTAAATGCCTGTGTAATTCTCACTTCATTTTGAAGTTGAAATTCATTCCTTTGAAGTTATTCTGAAGGTTTTCGAACCTGACTAAATTTAAAACTGATTGAACTCAATATTCTCGATCTGCTAGTTGTATTGGATTTGATATTTGTCCATAATTTATTCATTGTGCCTCAGAAGCCTTTACCAATTGTTAGATGCGATTTACTTTTCGTCATTTCACTATTAACAGGAAGTCAATTGGCCTGCTATATTGTATTTCACTTCATCCGCTCTTAGAGCTAAATTTGAAACTTGTTAATCTAAGTTAAGCGAGTTGGTGAGATGATTGCTAGAATTTAATGCGCCCTCTCGGAAGAAAAGCATTCAGTGACAAATTCTCCGTTATTCCACCGTTTTATCTTATTTATAGGCTGTTTTTCACCTTTTTAACTGATTGGGTGATTAGAAATGTGGATAGGAAATAGAAAGGATTAATAGATTCCTCCGTTGATTCAGCGTCAGAATCACTCCCAGATCATTTTTTTTTGCATGAAGAAGAATCATTCGACTAAGTCAGGCAGCCAGCATGTTGGGTAATGTTTGCGTTTGATGGGTGTAAACTAACTAAAAAGAGTAACATCTAAGTTTTATTGATTTTCCACTATTAAGTAAATGAGTTTTAAAGTTAGCGTCTAAATACAATCTCGTTGATTATCTGCTTTTATTCTTTATGATAAATCTGCTGGCTTTATAGTATGTCCTACATATCCCTTCTGTCATTTTTGCATACATAGCGTTTTGCTTCTTATAAATGTTTCAGGAGGAATATGCTCTTCCTCAATGGACTCCGTCGATCCTTAATCAACTGCTCATCATCCTTCCAAACAAGTATCTTATCCTTTGAAACCTTAAATGTTCCACAGCATTTAGAAGACTGTTTATTCAAGTTCAAGAGACTCCAAATCCTAACAGTCTAAAGTATTTTCCTGGCAAAGATGTATTGGGATCTGGAACTAGAGATTTCCCCTCTTTCGCTCATGCAAAGTCATCTCCATTGGCGAGGTTAATCCTTTTCTTTGTTGTTGAAGTAAATTGACAACTTTAGACAGTTGTTTCGAATCGAAGGTGTTGAACAAGTGTTTTTCGGTCCTGATTTCATCACAATCACAAAGGTCGGTTTGTAATTCTTCTTCTCCGATCTGATAAGTAAATAGAATGACAACTATGAATGGGCTGTGATCAAACCAGATGTATATGCAACTATAATGGATTTCTATAGTTCAGGACAACCTGTTGTCGTTGAAGAAGAGAAAACGCAGGATTCAAGTAAGATGCACATTTACACATTTGTGTATATTGCTCATTCTGATTTTTGTAGACATCTAACTTTTAAGGTAGGCAAATATTGAGTAGTGTCATTTGATGAGATTGTGGTCATCTTACTTGATGAGTCATAAGAAAGTTCCAAAATCATTATGGATTATGTACTACTAACAGTATAGTATACTATAGTATAGTATTGTGGTGGACTGGATTATGCGTCAGACAGTGGGAAACGAGAAGACGGGGATATCCTGGACCGACGTGAAGAATCTAGAAGACCTGGATTTCGCGGATGATTTATGTTTGATGTCACACAAAATCGAAGACTTACAAGCGAAAACTTACAAACTGGTTGAAGAAGCAGCAAAGAGAGGACTGCAGGTGAACATAGACAAGACGGAGGTTATGAAAATAACCAACAACAACAGCATCAGCAACATCCAGCGCCAATCACCATCAATAGAAGGGATTTGAAAGAGGTTACTTCATTCACTTATCTAGGGAGCATTGTCTCAACTACAGGAGGAACGGACGAAGATGTCAAATCGAGAATCGGAAAGGCAAGAAACACATTCATCAACCTGAAACCAATCTGGAAATCTTCGACACTTAGCATCAACAACAAAATTCGAATTTTCAATACAAACGTCAAGTCAGTTCTTCTATATGGATGGATCAGAAACTTGGCGGGTCACAAAGAATATTTCCAACAGCCTGTTGCAGACCTTTATCAACAGCTGTCTTCGTTCTATACTCAAGATCATATGGCCGGAAAGAATCACCAACAAAAAACTATGGGAACAAACAAACGAAACAAGAACCAATCGCTCAACAAATATGCAGGAGAAAGTGGAGATGGATTGGACACTCGCTGAGGAGGCCGTTGGGTGACATCGCGCGTCAGGTCCTCGAGTGGAACCCGAAAGGGAAGCGGCGAGTGGGACGTCCAAGGGTGACATGGAGGAGATCGTGTGAAGAGGAACTGAAATAGTATGGACTAACATGGATGCAGGTGAAAGATACAGCAGAAGACAGAAACAAGTGGAGACGTGCAGTTGAAGCCCTATGTTCCACTAGGAACCCAAGGGAACAACAATAATAATATAATAATAGTATAGAATGTAATATGTTGAGTGTATGAGTGCATATAATACAGCATTCATGAGACATTCAACCCATTAGTACTAGTGTCTGTAACTTACATCTTTTTACAATTAAGTAAAATTAGCCGTAGAATGGCAGCTATGATCATTCAGATTCACCGAATATTCTTAGTCATATTCGACAAATAAAAGTTTTGAATTACATGCACTGGAATAGTATTAAATTGACTGTTTTGTTGGTTGTATAGTTAGTTCTAAATGACGTATATACCTCCATGGCTTTAGGCACATTCACTATTATTATTATTCCCTTGGGTTCCACTTCGTTCTGTTTTCTACTGTCCTCTTCATCTCAGTCCACGATTGTCTATAATCCCTCATCTCCTCCATGTCAACCTCGGATACGCGCCTACTCGTCTCTTCCCATTGGGTCTGGCTCTCAGTGTCATTCTACAGGCTCCTCAACGTATACTCGATCCATCTCCAATTTCTCGTACATATTTGTTGAGCAATGTGTAGCCTTTAGGCAAAACCTCTTAGATATGCACCTCTCAAGTACTTTTAATGATATCTATTATTAACGTGTTCAGTGTATGCATAAGTTCATGTCAATATCACTAAAGTACTTTGCAAGTTGATTGACGAATCAAAGTAGAAATATGCCTATTTTAATGCTACACAGCACACGTTGTGAATGCATTGACTACCAATCAACTGTTGGTGATTTGAATAGTTCATAATACTACTATACAGGAAGACAAAACCACCTACATTCAACTTGTGAAACATATTTGAAAATGGTAAGTAGGAAGAGTTTTTTTAACAACATTAGGTGTTTTGTTGCCACTTACTCGGGTGAGATAGAAAAGTTTCATGGCTGATTGACTGACTTACTGACTGACTGATTTCAGTATAGAACTTCGGACAGAAGTGCAGCAGTTCGAGTTGCAACACCCTTGTTTGCACACAAAGCAAGAGAAGAGAGTAAAGCGAGATTCAAAAAAGTAATAACAAACAGAAGTGTGAGGGGAGAAGAATAGTAATATCGAAGAACCATAGAACTTCAGTGGATATGATAAATAATAAAGAGTGAATGCGTCTGCGCCATGCCATCACCGACTGAGAAGGATTTTCAGCCATATCACCAGTTGTTTCCTCTCCAGCGACTGGTTCTTACCATCCCGAGGACCTTACAACCAGGAAGTCTACACCTGTGAAATTACATCGACTGAGATAGTTGGGACATGTGTTACGTATGCCTAGTCATCGCCTTCCTCGACGGGCAATGTTAGCTGATATAGGGCCAGGCTGGAAAAGAGCTAGCGGCGGTCAAACGAAAACATGGCACCATTCAATGAAATCCACAACAGTTAGTCTAAGCCACGTAGGAAGATGTAGACTTCCTGGTTGGGGTCCTCGGGACGGTAAAAACCAATGGTTGGAAACGATTGGTGACATGGCTCAAAATCGTTCTCAGTGGCGCAGATGCATCCACTCCTTGTGACTTATGATTTCCAATTAAACTGTTTTGTTCTCCGTTATTACTATTCCTTTGTCTCACACCTCTGTTTACTGTTTATATTATGGATTTCTTCTACTTTCTTCTCTTGCTTTGTGTGCTACATGGAGTGTGGCGACTTGAACTGCCGCACATATGTGCAAAGTTCTATGTCGAAAACCGACCGACCGAAGTCTACACCTCCCTACGTGACTCAGACTAACTGTCACAGATTTCATGGACTGGTTCCGTGCACTGTTTTAACCACCACTAGCTCCTTTCCCAACGTAATCCTATGTCACCTAATATTCCCCATCGAGGAAGGCTATGGTTAGTCATGCGTAACACATGTCGATATAGCTTCACAACCGCATCAAGTGACATCCCTTTCCTGCCTAACACCTACCTAACATCTAACCTGAATACTACTCACCACATTGTGTACTACATAACACGGGCGACAGGACACAGACACCTATGATCAAAGACAGTCAGCCTCTTCATGTCTTCCACTTTCAATGTTCATGTCTCACAGCTATAAAGGGGAGGACGAAGCGAACTGCTGAGTATTGGACACGTCCTATGGTATACAACCGGATATTACATCTACTGAGACAGAGATAGCTGAAGTCGGCAAATGGCAAACTAGCCTTCTGTATCCGTGCTGTACTGTAATCAGATTTGCTTGCTGTGTTACCGCTAGGCTTCATGCTGGTTATGCAGGTGCGTAAGTGTTTAGAATGGTAAGTTTTAGCATTGCTGCGTAATGCCAATGTAATCACACTAAACGATAGTTTTCTGAGTCAACTACATAAAATAGTTATAGATAAATTAGAATTCCCAAAAATGATGGACAATGAGATATAGGTGAAAACCCTGTTATTCTTGAGTAAAGGTAACAAGAAGAACGTTATAGGCAAAAGTGACACAACCTTCACCAGTTGTACATATTTTACATGAAGTGTGATGGAAATTTCATCGAATAATTTCAGAATAATTGGGTGCCGGGTGAGAAGTAGACATTATGTGAAAATTATATTTGTAAAATTTCAACGAAATTGAAATAATTAATTCCAGCGTTTCATTCACAAAACTCATCTGAACATCTTCGAGGAAATTAATTAAAATCAAGTAGCGAAGATATGTATGCATGTGTGTGCGTACATAAAAGGATATATCTTTTAGATAAAGCAATAAGAAGACGTAATTTGTCTGAATCTTGTCATGTGTATATTTGCGCAACACATTTCGAACAATCTGATCACACACGGACTTGTCATAGTAATATATATGAAATTAATAAACAGTTAAGAGGTGAGAAAATAGACAAGTTAGGTGAAGTTTAAAGGACATATTCAAGGTCAAAGTAACAATGAAGACCACTAAACCAAATAGCAGAGGTAATAGTACATCTGCTATGGTATCAAAACAAAATTTACCAAGGAAGGTTTAATGTGATGACTAATTGTTTTTGAACGCATAGAGGTGGCTTAAACTTCCTAATTGCCAGCTTTAGGATACGCCCGAAACACGTTTTATAGATAGGTTTAAAAGATCTGTTAACGTCAATTTTATGTCCTGTCTCCATAATATGTTTCGCAATAGGGCTGCTAGGTCTCCTGTTCTCACCATTAATGGGTTCTGAAGATTTCATTTGTTTCTGGAGCCATTTAGGAATATGCTATGAAGCCCTTACTAGCAGAGATCGATGAGTCCTCCCTACATATGTGTCCACACGTACATTCAAATTGGTAAATACAGTGGGATGTGACATCATTTTACGTATGTTCGAAGGGCTTAGATAGATATATGGGCTTAACATTCTCAATTATTAAGCTTCATAAAAAGTCATTTTAACAACAGCGTTCAGTCTTTGTCTAGTTATCAAGCTACTATGATGCCCCACCCATATAGGGTAGCTTGATGTACACGTCTTTCTTAGGGGCGAGTTGTAGAGTGAGTCTTGGTGTTCTGACTACTTTATGTCTCCTGATGAACTTGTCTGTATAATTGTTATCAACCAGAGTTTGTGTCAACTTTCTTTCTCATCATCAAGTGTGTCTTCAGTGCATATTCGTTGGATTCTACTAAAGAGGCACCTCAGACAATTTACGTCTTCTTATTGCTTTATCTAAATTCATAAAGGGAACTAATTGTTTTAGATATATCTTTTGTTGAAAATCCTTCTCCAACCATGGACTTTGATCAAAATTTGACCAAAGACTTATTAGTTTATTTCTGTTATACACTGTGAACAATGTGTAATGTTGCATCAGACCCTTAGTGATCATGTTTGACTGAAGTTCATGGTCATGGATAACTGCGTTAAATGAACACTTTTTAGGGTCTCCTACACACTTTTTCCAGCACGATTTGTTGTTTGCCAACTAGGGTGTTACATGCTTCTAGGCAGTGTGTGAAATTGTCTATCTATTATTATACTTCCTTTAGGTTCCGAGTAAAGCATAGGTCCTCAACAAAACATTTCCATGTCATCCTGTTCACTGAAAGCGGCCTCCTTAGCTGGCTCCTTGGATTGCTCATAGACTCTCATCTCCTTCTTACACAAACTCCTCCATGTCACTGTGAGATCAATGCCCAACTCAGCGTTACGCATTCACCTTCCACTCGACCGATAGCCTGACATACTATGCCACACTCTACAGTCTTTCTAGCATACGTCCGTATGTAGTTTCATGTAGATCGATTTTGCGAGTCTGATGTGCAGAGCTTTCCTCTTTTTAGTTATAGAAATGTTTTGGGACAAGGAAATGACTATGCTAACCTCTGTTTATTTATTTATTTATTGTATATGACCTAGGGTTCTAGGCAAATATTTGTACTTAGTTGCATCTCTTAATCAGTGGGAGTGCATACTGCAATTGTCGAGGAGAATGGAATTATTATTGATTTATCTCCTTTATAGTTTTCTTTTTAAAAAAATTTTTATACTTCAACATGAATTTTCAACTTCAGATGAACCATGTGAAGAAGACGATGAGACAGTATTGATGATTAAAGAACTCTTGGATACACGGATAAGACCTACTGTCCAAGAAGATGGTGGCGATATTGTTTACAAGGTTAGTGTGTGTGTGTGTGTGTGTGTATACATTCATAGGACTATCTCTCCTTGATTTCTTTTTGTGTAAATTACTGTACAGACAGTGTTTGTTGTTGCATACACTCATACTAACCTGTAAACTCGGTTTTTCAGTTAATTGTAGGTCACGAATGAGTTCGAGTCCCACTGCATTCTACTTCAGTCTAAGAAAATTGCCAACTAAAGCGTAAAATGTGTTTTGAGTGTTATTATATAAGGAAAGCGTAGAGGAGTGAGTGTTTCAGGAAGTTTCTTGTGTGAGTGCATTCGTTCTTCTCGCAGCTATGGTCTCTTTTAATTGGACATTAGTTAGTATAACTAGTGTAATGTGTGTCTAGTCCTCTGTTTAATGCAGACTGAATTCTATCAGTCACGTTCAACTGTCAGAAGGGATATGAGTTCCTTCAAAGTGGTTGCAGATACGTCTTGCTGAGTGGTGAGAGTGCCAACCAGCTAGAAACTTAGGTCTAGGTAAGGCTTCCTGCCGATCGCCTCCAACCATCTAATATCAGTTGTTGCCCCTCTGTTTTCAAAGAGTAAAATACGAACTCCATTTGACAGCTGAGTAAACCTTGTCTTGGCAAGGCGACTCGTGATTGTTTTAAAGTGCTTTTTTATTTTTCTTTACTTCTGTACAAAATTTTGATTGTGAGGTTAGTTTGAATATGTGGCTCTTTGGTTAAAGTACTTGGTTTTCAACTGAAGGGTCGCGAGTTCAAGTCCCGTTCCACCTACTTCAGGCTGGGCAACTAGGTGGTAGTATCATCAGCCGTCACACGATAAGTATGGGTGTTAGTATGATGCAATGGCGAGGCTAAAGTATCTTAACCAAATGTATTATTGATATAACTATAAAACTTGGACACTGTGGTAGAGTACAGGAGGTCAGTCGCGAATCTCGAATCTCAGAAGGACATGAGTTCTTTCAAGGTTGCAGATACGCCTTGCTGACTGGTGAGTGCCAACAAGCACGAAACCTAGGTCCAAGGCTTTGTGCCGATTGCCTCTAACTATCTAATACCAACAATTCACAGTGCACCGTGATGGCGAGCCACCTAGTAGAATGGTGGCCACATTGCAAGCTTGACTGATAGAATTCAGTCTGCACCAAAGATAAGACTAGACACATTACACTAGTTACTGACCGGTGTCCAATCAAAAAAGAGTATAACTCCATTATGGATAAAATTTTATTTTGATAAATCACACAGTGTTGTACAGTAATATTAACACAACTTTTGTATGAGTGACTTGATATGATTGATATGATATGGCGATAATTTGTGCTCGAAACATTATCAATTAATATTACTGTACCACGCTGTATGATTTATCAAAATAAAGTATTATCCATAATGGAGTATCATAGCCAAATTCAAGGTCTGTCGAAAGTTGACCTTCAAGAGCTAATCAGATTTAGGGGAAGATCATTCCAGATCAAATCATACCCTTTTGGATTTGGCGAGGGTATGCACAATATTCTGTCCACTGTCTAAGTACTTTTTCTGTAAATCTGAGATTAAGGTTAGGATTACGGTCGAAGTTAGCGATGGGTTGAAGAAGAGTGTCAGAAATAACAGCGGTTCTCTCAAAGTACCATGATCTACAATCACCTGTATAATGAATACATCTATCGCGCATAATGTGATTTCTGTGTAGATCATCTGTGTAGTAACTGAGAAACATTCTTACAACAAATAAGCAACAACTAGGTAGTGTGTAATAAATATCATGTTTGCAGTGGTTTTTGGGGGCGTTTCTCAACGATTAGGTGACTTTTTTGTATTTGAATTCTGATTGGCTATTCAGAGTCACTGAGATTTTGGCTATGGTTGTTTGACTTCGTCGATACAGTTAATGTGATTCGATTCACAGAAGCAGTTGAACTCATAAACGAAAACAGGGAGAGGAAAAAGAGTTCCTTCAAGATCTCAGGTGTACACCTTGTTGACGAGTGCCAGCAATTACGTAACCTGTGTGTCCTTCCTACTGATTGCCTGCAACCATCTAACCTGATAATAGCTAGAAATTTTTTTAATCTCAAAAGTATTGACTTGGCATTCAGAGATATGATAAGCTTGACTGGTCTTATTGAGAATTTGTCTCATAGACGGAAATATATTCACCTTTTGAAGGGAAATGACAGAGTTCTTAATCTGCATAACTGTGTAGTATAATTAACGCTATCTAAGTCTAGGAAAGTGAATAAATCTCATTTTTGTAAAGTGCACTTTATATCCGTAGAGATAGTGTAAATATAAACTCATCGTACTTTGATTGGACTCTAGTGTGTAACTAGTGTGTGACGTGTCCTAGTCCTTTATTTGGTGCAGACTGGATTCAATCAGTCAGTCGGGTTCGCAATGTGGCCACCATGCCATTTAGTAATCGTCAACTATGAAGACTAAACTATACTGATACTGCGATGTGGATGATCAAAATTCAAGTCCAAAGCTCACAGGGTGGTGATGACCCGTGAATTAAGATAACCACCCGCTTTCGTCTAGGCGCCTGGGAAAGTATTCCAGCTTTTGCAGAAAGTATGAGATTTTTTAAAGTCCATATCATAATGCTGTTTAGAGTTATGACGACACTACATTCATTGTTTCATGGGTATTGTGTTTAACGTGTCATTATATAATATAAGAATACAACTTGGCCAGTTTGGTAGATATAGTCGCACAGTATTATTATTTTATTATCATCATTCCCTTGAGTTCCAGGTGGAACATAGGGATTAAACAACACATCTCCGCCTTGTCCTATCCTCTGCCGTCTTCTTCAGCTTGGACCACGATTGCCTGCAATCTCTCATCTCCTCCTCACACGATCTCCTCCTTCCTCACCCTAGGATGACCCACTAGTCACTTCCCACTGAGGTTCCTCTCAAGCAATGGCATGACTGGCGCGCGATGTCATTCGATGGTCTCCTCAATGTATTATGCCCGATCAATCCATCTCCATTTTCTCCTACTTGTTAGTTGAGCGATTGGCTCTTGGTTGGTTTGTGCCCACAGTTTCTTGTTACTCATTCTTTCTGGCCATTTGATCTTCAGTAAGGAGATGGTGAAGGCAGCTGTTGATAAAAGTCTGCAACCTGTTGGAAATCCTTTTCGTGACACGCAGTGCAAGTTTCTGACCCGTATAGTGTTATACAGTAATGCTTACTGATGACGTTTCGAGCACAATTTATTCCTACTCATAACTGTATCAAGGTACTATTCACACAACTTATCTCTCGTATTGGTGATGATGGGCAAATATTCAGTAATCAACCTCTCCCTCTCTCTCTCCATCTACCTATATTACTTTTAGAATTGTAACTGTGTTCCATCCTATTGCGTCGTTGTGTGCTAATGCATACAGGGCAACTGTTGGTTTTTTCTTCTAAATTACTTATCTTCACGGGGTCCGTCATTCCATATTTCGGGTATGAGTGATGAATCATTCCTATTGGATGTGTTGGATGTAGATTCGATGAACAAGGATTCAATAATCAATCTCTATCTCTCTCCACCTACCTAGATTACTTTTTAGAATTTTAACCCTCTCCCTCCCACCCTATTGTGTGGTTGTGTGTTAATGCATGCATTGCAATTGCTGAGCTTTTTTCTAAATTACTTATCTTCTCTGGGTCAACCATTCTTACCTTAGCTAAATTCTTATGTTCTGATAATCTGACTACCCCCGATCTATTGATCTAACTGACCTATGTGGAGTTGACTTAACTCACAGTCATTGCAGGGTATTTTGTAAATTATATTATCATTGTTATTATTATTATTATTTTTATCTAATTGGATCAACCTACAGGGTCGTTTCACCTACCTACACAGAGTTTGTCCTACCTTAATGTGAATGAGTAACTTTGTCGGCTTAAATGCTGCGTGTCCCTATTTAAAAACAATCAGCCTATTCTCTCTGCATATAACGCCTTGTAATTAAGTATTTATTCAACCCAGAAAAATTTTTCTTATCTCTAATTTTTAGGGATTTAAAGATGGTATTGTCCTGTTGAAATTACAAGGTTCCTGTTCAAGTTGTCCAAGTTCTGTTGTTACCCTGAAAAATGGTGTACAAAATATGCTACAATTTTATATACCGGATGTGTTAGGCGTTGAACAAGTAGAAGATGAATTGGATATGGTGTCTAGAGAACAGTTTGAAAAACTAGAAGAAGAGATACAAAGTAAACCGAAGAATGAGTGAACTAGACTAGACTAGACGAGAGGAAAGGAGAGGAGAGGAGAGTTTAACGCTGAAATTTGAACATTGTGTACATACCTGCCCTATTTCACTGCGTTACAATCTACTAAACCAAAAAAAAATAGTATCTACAGTGTGTATTATTGCATTCCTTTGTCTTTTTTGTCTTATTAAATGTGGAACTGCACTTGGTGGTCACCGCATTCTGGAACTGGGAATCAGTTAGTTTAAACCAGCCATTTATGTATGGAGGCGCGTAGACTGCCTGACTGGTTGCGGTCCTCAGAGTGATAAGAACCAAATAAATGGCTGCAGACAGTTAGTTGGTGATGTGGCTCAGCGGGGCAGATGCATACTTTCTTTGTAGTCTACTATATCCATTTAACCCTATTTATTTTTCAACTGTTTTCAACGACTTTACCGAACCCTCCATCATACGAGTAGACAATCGCCTTTCCACAAATACACTCAGTTTAAAGTACCGAGGATTGGCGAATACCGATCTTTCCCAGAATGTTGAAGTGCCCGCTTGGTGGGGATGGTGGTGATGTTAAGGAAAACCAGTTTTGCAGCATAATAAATTCTCTTGATGGCTATATCAGTTTTTCGTTTGACTGCTTCTTGTACGTCATCTCCTTTAATTAAATGGCAAACTGATATGCACAGGTAGTTAGTTATGCTGGGGCTTATTTCTTCAAAGTATATTTATTGATGAATCTCTCAGGATATCCATTCTTAGATTAAATATCCGTGAGAGTACTGTCAGAATAGATTTTTCGTGCTCTATTGAACAGTGTTCTAACTAAGTTCTTTTTATGCTGGATTGGAAAAAAAACTTTTACAGTGTATGTACTATGCCGTCCATGGAAATTTCCTAAACATAGATCTTTCCCCATTGTGCTACCAGTCGTTTTCATAAGAGAAACATTTAGGAATTTAATGGTATCCATTTTCGGATGGTATGTGTTGAATTTTGTCGATAGGTTGTCAGCTTTTGATTTGCTTTCACAGACAGTAAGAATATCATTCACCTATCTTAGAGGTATAATTCCATTTGTTGTTGTGTGTGCTGTTGCAAAATACTGGCTCGTAGGCCTGACAAGGATAAATCTGCAAACCGGGGGGGGGGGGTCTCGCCACTGCAACACCATCAACTTGACGGAATGGTCACCCCTGGAAATGAAATTGGATATTTTTAGTGCATAAAAGTAACAATTCCTTCAGTTCTGTTGTGCTGCACTAGGTATGTCGTTCGCTTTGCTACATTAAAAGCTGTCAGGAGAACTTATTATGCTGCAAAACTCGTCTTCCTTAACACCACCACTACCAAACGGGTGCTTCAGAATTCTGGGGAAGACCGGTATCCGCCAATCCTCGATGGTTTAACCGGCGTATATCAGTTTGATGAGTGTGTCTGTAGATTCAGATGCATACAGATCGCACAGAATGGCGATTGTCTACTCACATGATTGTGGAAAATAGTTGAAGTCGTCAAAGTGCCAAAAGACGTCTCTTGCTTTTCCGTATCAGCGCACACTTTCTTCCTCACATTTCTGCTTGTTGTAATCTCCTTGTGTCTTCCTTTGTATTCCACTCGGAGTATTGCAAATTGAATTGCCTCACTTGTCTGCGAGGTTCTATGCTGAAACCCGCCATTCAACCATGTACATATGGTATAAAATTTAGAAAAACAAATGCAGTTGAATAGTTTGGGTTTATTTAATTTTGTGTCAATTTTCTATAGCTTGAAACCGGTTCCGGATGTTTCTTTTTCTTCAGTTTATGTAAGAAAGTAAGTGAACAATTGTACATAGTTTGATGTATAAGTATGTGAATACTTCTCTTGAATACTATACTGTTTGACCATGGATTGATGCCAGTTGGAGAAGCATTGGAAAGCCAGGGAGTACTGGACAGCTGTGTTCCTGTCGTCGTAGTTTGGGACCCGTCGACAGTACGCACCCACCACCGTTAGGGTTCGAACCCTGGACCCTCCGGTTACAAGGCTGGCTTGTAGACCACTAAGCCACTGCGACGAAATCCCATTGCGCATGAATTCCAATTTCTGCCTACTCACGATATACCAGAACCACTAACCAACTTTATATGCCCATTGTTTTTTTATGTCTTATTTAATTACTAATTTAATATTAAGTAGTGTAGAGTGATTAGACAAATTTCATTAATTCGTTAGTCATTCAATGCGCTCACCCATACGCTTGTTGTGGAATATTTGTGATCATTTTGAGGATAACCTGCATTAAGCAGCATTCAACATTGGTGTCCGTCAGGGATTCACACTATCCCCATTTCTGCTGAATTTCATCAAATGACGTGTGTAATGCTCACCAGTTCGCTTCAACTGTAGACCTAGCCATTGAAGGTAGAAAATATGAAAAGGCTGGCTGCCTTTGCCTATCTGCTTCATATCTCCCGTCTTAGATGGTATAATGTGGTGAGTAGTATCCAGGTTAGGCATCAAGTGTTAGGTAGCAAGGGAAGGTCAATCGATGGCATGCTGAAGCGCTACATCGATTGAGGTGGCTAGGATATGTGCTAGCTGACATAGGATCAAGTTGGAAGGGAGCTAGTGATGGTCAAATGAAAACATGAGATCAATTCATGAAATGTCCGACAGTTAGTGTGAACCAGCAGCTTAGGAAGGTGAAGACTGCCTGACTGGTTCGAGTCCTCGGGATACTAAGAGCTGGAGACAATCGGTGGTATGACTCAAAATCGTTGATAGTGGCTCAGATGCCTTTTGTCTTCTCTTTTGTGATACATGGAGTGTGTGGCAAGTTGAACTTCTGGACTTCTATGCCAAGTTATATGTTGAAAGCTGTCAGACACCAATATACGGGATACTTCTGATCGTCAACTTATCTCCCTCACTTTTTGATACTGCTTAAAGCTCCACACCATGATTAACGTTGTTCGACTTTATAGCTTACAGTACTTCATGGAAATTGCCCTCGAAACTATATTTACTGACTTTTAATACCCGTGCATTATTTTTGATCAAATAAACATAAGTCTGGCTAGTCCAAAATTGTAGCGAATAAAGGTGTTAGTGGACTTAATTGTATGGTTGGTCGTTCACTTGATGTGTCTTACAACAGGAGAGATAAGCAATTTTGGGATTAGTTCTTCGGATTCCTAATGGTACAGTAGAAGTTAAATCTCTACAGGAAGTATGCTTATTTCTTCATCGATGCGTGGAAATCGATGACACATAACACAATAATGACCACCGACACTATATGCATGACTATGTGTGTAATGAACGACACCTATCCGGGAAATAAGAAGTTAAGAGCTAGATGAATAACCATTTTCAACGTCTAAATAGCTTAAAATATTGACTGCTTGCGACAACCAATTATCCTTGGCAAGTGCCTATTCCGAGAATGATGAAAGATACATTGTTTGACTTGACGGTCAACTGATGACTACACAGTCTAGCGATAAACACAGTCCACATTTTATTATTATTTTTTTTACTAAATAGCGTTGAAAACACTAGATTGAAGGCTGTTGTTCCCCTAAGAAGCTGTTTGAGTATGCGTTCACTACAAGACACCTACATACGTAACGTAGTGAATTACAATTACGAGTAGACCATTCTGAAATTCTAGCCGCTTTCAAGTTCGTAAGGGATCCTTATCAAGCGTACTTATGTCGAACCTTAGGCGAGAAAATGCGTTGAATGCTCTCACAAAGAAGTAATCTCTTGAACTGTGGTCATAAAAGCTTGGGAGACAGTTCAATTAAAAGTGTAATTGCTTTATTCTCGTTAAGCAGTCAATCGTAGCCTTAAAAGGATTTAGACAACAATAAAACATTAAAGTTTTCCTGTAGTTTAAAACCTTCTGAGGAATAATGACACAGGATATTAGACGGGGGGGGGGCTCACTGTTGAATGGAATCAGAGGCATTTAAGGATCGTTTTCCAAGATTACTGACTGTTGAATAATGCTTCGCCTGAATATGGGAGTAAGACAAGGTTCTGCATTATATAGTAGACTGGGCTGTGCGTTACTACACCCTCTGTGGGGAACGAGAAGATAAGGAATACATTGAACCAATAAGAAGAATGTAGAAGATCTGGATTTCGTGGACGATTTGCGTCTAATGTCACACAGACTCTAGGACTTAGAGGCCAAAAAAAAACAACGAGTTGACTGAAGAGGCTGGCAGTGTAGACAGGAGTTCAAGTGAACATACAGAAGATGGAGGTGATGAAGATAACCAACCTACAACAACAGCAACAGAAGTACCAATCACTACCGACAGAATGAATTTGAAAGATGTCTCTCCCTTCACTTGTCTGGGGGCAGCACTGTCTCAACTGCAGGCAGTAAGAACAGATGAGGACGTCAAAACTAGAGTCAGGAAGACAAGGACAGTTTATGGAAACCTTATGAACTCAGGGTAATCAACTAAATTATTCATTTCAACATCACTGTTAAGTTAATCAGTTCTTCTGTATGTATCGGCACGACCGTCATGAAAAGCATTTCCAGAAGCCTGCGGAATTCTCCCAATCACTGCCTTCTTTGACTCCATACTAAAGATCAGATGGCCGGTCAGAAGGGATGTGTAACAAGATGCTCTGGGAACCAACCAGTCATGAAAATATTGCTCAACAAATATGCTACACGAAATGGAGATGGGTTGCATACACGTAGGAGAGACTGTAGAGTGAAATCCTGCGTCAGGTCATCGATCTAGTGGAAGATGAATGGGATGGAAAACCACTTGTTGGGCATGACTCCGAGGGTGACATGAAGAATGTCGTGTGAGGAGGAGATGACAACCCATAGTGTCAATAGTGTGGCTAGCTAAAGAGGACCGGGTGAAATGTTGAAAACCTATGTTCCATCCAGAACCTAAGGAAATAATGGTAAATAAGTATTTTGAATCACACATAAATTAGATAAATTTAGATGCATGTATTCCTTGCTTTAGATATGCTGTCATCTATAGTTTGTCTTGCTGTGACCACTTCTAAATTCGATTGGAGAAGTACATTGCAAGATAGTTGAGCTTTAATGGAGTATTCGTCGGTTTTATTACATAAGAGAGAGAGAGAGGAGTTGGTCGGTCATCTGTC